TTCGGGTGATCGCAAAGTCGGGTGATGCAAAGTCGGGTGGTGCATATTCGGGTGATGGAATTTTGGGGTGGGGGAATTCTCGGGTGATGAAAAATATTGCACTGAAGGCTACTAAATATAAAATATTGTACTAATGGCTACTAAATATGGCGTAATCTTGTTAAAGTCTTAAAATTTTTTAAATTTTATGCTTTTTGGGGTTTTCGACCATCAGGAATCCAAAAATAGAAACCATTTTGTTCAAAATTCTCTGTGTGTATTACTATTGTTGTTTTAATTGTAAGTAAATATAAGAATTACTGTAAATTTTATGAATAAACCGAATTCTGTATTTGTTTTGGGGTTTTCGAATATCAGGAATCCAAAAATGGAAACCATTTTGAAGTGGGAAATTTCTATGGTGATCTGGACGATGTTGTAATGATCATAACTAACTATGACGTGACATTGAAACCTTCAAAAAAAACAAAAATTCCATCACCCGAATATGCACCACCCGACTTTGCATTACCCGAGTTTGCGATCACCCGAAAGTTCTCACCCGAACCTGCACCACCCGACTCTGCGTCACCCATAAATTCAGTCACCCTAACTCCATACCCCATGGAAGTACTTTTCTTGTGAAAAAAGAAAGTGTACCTAGAGCCACTCTCGGATTTTGATGGAACTTATCGCAAATTTAGTTTTATTTTTTCTATTAAAATACTACTCTTTGATTTTCATTCGCACTGTGTGCTTCTTGTCCGCCACAATTTCCAGCCAGTGGCTTCAAATAATTCATTTTTTTTGGCGGCGACTCGCCACTTTTTTTTCGACGGACTTAAACTTACGAGGCTCCTAGAAATGCACCTTTGAATTATTATAAATCAATCTACAGTAATCGAAAACCGTCTCAAAAATTTATTCAAAATTTCAACCGGTATACGATTTTATAATACACATCAAACAACACCTTCTTCGACAGTACGACTTATACCATGTATCGTTTGATTTCACGATCCTTCGGAAATTACTATTCTATTTGTTGCCGGCATAGTAGATGGCAATTATATTTCGACAATTTTTTCATAATTACATAGCAAAAGACTCTGGGGATTGTTTGTAAAAAGGGAGTGGCAAAAGTGTAAAAAAAGTGTGAATGGCACATACAGTAGTTGACAGCGAATTGTCAATTTTTTTATTTCGTATGTAACTTCACTCAGACTCAACAGAATTTGATGAGACAAAGAGCGTTTAAGAGGCTGGGAGACACGCTTCAACCTTATGAAATTGTTTTATTTCATATCGGCCACAGGCGTGGTAAAAATTTCAAAACAAATTTTTTGGGGGGACAACGAATTGTCAATTTTTACATTTTGAGGCATAAGATCTCAATAAACCAGCATATAAAGACTAGAATGGAGAGTAATCAGTTGCCAGCAATCATAGAACAGCATACAACGGGTTTCAGCCATTAGTATAATCTCCTTCGCTTTCTATAGGTCGGGCACTTGGGGGTGGACCATGTACAATATAATGTCAGCCTGGGGGCTTCCTAGGCCGAAATTATCTTATATTCCGGTTTTTTATGGAAGATTATTGCATATATTTAACACACTTGTACCGGATTACAACTTGGAGGGGCTACGGGTCAAAAATTCGTCAGATAATATTATTTTTGGTCATCTAAACTCTGTGTTTCGCCCAAAAATCGATAATTTTTTTGCCGACAGGGGGCATAGGTTCATTCAATCCTCCTTTACGGCCAAACTAACGACATTCTACAAATTATTTCATTACCTGTCTCGACGCCCTGAAATTTCCGGGTGACATTCTGACGGTCCAATTAATTCTTGTGCCACACTAGGGTGGTGCGTATATTAATCATTTTATTGCGCGTCTTCTGCGTTTTTAAACGTTAAAACTAATATTTTTAATGCTTGTAAAAATCTTTAATATGCTAATAAAATGTCTTGGAAGTTGCAGGCTTGAAGAAATAAGAATTTTTCTGGGTGTTGCAAACCCGACGTGAAAATTCATGTAAATCCAAATATTTCCCTCTGCATACCTCTTCCATGAGTGCTGGTACTGACATGTGAAAGGCACTGAATATTTGTCTTTTAGTGTAGTTTGTTTTCAAATATAGAAGGTTTCTCCAACGATCTTCATGCGCGACATTTTTTGATTTTTGATACTCTGACCAACAGTATGAAAGGCCATGATTAACATATTCGAGGTAACAAGGCGCAAGTGTAACCCGTTAGGTGTAATTTTTTGACTTGCCCTAGCGTAGTAAGATGTAACCGCCCATAAAAAACCGGAATATAAGATAATTTCGGCCTAGGAAGCCCCCAGGCTGACATTATATTGTACATGGTCCACCCCCAAGTGCCCGACCTATAGAAAGCGAAGGAGATTATACTAATGGCTGAAACCCGTTGTATGCTGTTCTATGATTGCTGGCAACTGATTACTCTCCATTCTAGTCTTTATATGCTGGTTTATTGAGATCTTATGCCTCAAAATGTAAAAATTGACAATTCGTTGTCCCCCAAAAAAATTTGTTTTAAAATTTTTACCACGCCTGTGGCCGATATGAAATAAAACAATTTCATAAAGTTAAAGCGTGTCTCCCAGCCTCTTAAACGCTCTTAGTCTCATCAAATTCTGTTGAGTCTGAGTGAAGTTACACACAAAATAAAAAAATTGACAATTCGCTGTCAACTACTGTACATAATTCACATCAATTACAACATATGCACAATATTTTGTTTTTATTGCCTACAAGAAACTGATGAAAAAAGCGAGAAGGGTGGAGATTTTTTGGGGGAACGATGAAAAAAAATATTTTTCAAAAAAAATTTTTTTGTTTGAAAAAATGTGATGATTTTTCGAAGAAAAATAGTCGAAAATTTCGCATTTTACATTTTTTTTTGCAATGACATAACTGTAGGACAACCGCTGTTTTTTTATCGCGGGGATTGAAATAAATGTCAATTCCTGAAAGTTTTAGCTCGCGCTTTGCAAGCCCCACCAAGGTATTGAGCAATCTTTGCCGCCGAGAGAACACGCTAAAAGCGGAGAGCGGTCAGAGAGAAAAACGCCTTTTGGCCACAAGTTTGCCAGTTTTGTACGGAAAAAATTGATTTTTTGCATAGACATTACCCATTACGGTAGAAATAGGTATGAAACTTTTAGTGCGAAAATTTGGCAAAAAGTCTTAAATTTTCGCGGACTTTCGATCTAAAAATCTTGGTTGTTTCTGCAAAGCGCGAGCTAGGACTATTGCATATATTTTTGAAAAAAATATTCTAAATTTGTGCCAAGTTTCATCAAAATCTGAGCGTCGCACTTGGAGTAAGTCTGACCGATTTTGGGTTCCAAAATTCGGAATGAAAATGTAAACGGTCAAGTATGGGTGCATCCGTGTACTTAGACGGACCATATTTGGTGGACAAGAAATGGGGTATCTCAGCTTTAATTTGATATAAATTTTGTAGAAATTGGTGCATTATTGGCTGAGAAATCCCTGAAAAGAGGTTGGGAGTTTCGAATGGCCCACCCTGTACAATGGGAGTGTTTTATTTTGCCGCGAAAAAATTCATTTTCTCAACGGCAATGCGATTTTTGATGCGACAGAGTGCTCATTATTTTTCCGACAAACTGATACTCGTGTTGTATTTCCGGGAATTTCTCTTTGTTTTCTAGTAACATGTTTTTCAAAATTTCGTCAAAGAATTCTTTTTTCAAAATTTTTTGTAATGCCACTATTTTAAGTTCTCATATTTCCATTATAAGCCAAAAACGAGCCAGAAAGCGCTTTTCGAAATTCCGACTGTTTTCTGATTTTGGAGTGCACATCAAACAGCAAATCCTTCGACCGTACCATAGATTGCTTACAATGTTAAGAAAGTTCTGCCCTGTTTTTTAACACTACAGTGGCAATTACATATACATTCCTCCAAGTTTCAATAATTGCATGTTTAAAAAAAAGGGGATATTACTACATTTGGTAATTCATTGTTATTTGCAAACGGGGGAAACGGTAAAAAAGCGGGCAGGGTAGAGGGTTTTTATGGGAGAGCTGAATTTCAAAAACACTGGTTTTTCGATTAAAAAAAAACGCTAAGGACGTATTTTACACTTATTTTGGATGGTTTGTTAAGTCAAAGCTTTCAGTCTGTCGGGAAAATAATGATCACAATGCCGCTGAAGTAAAAAAAATTGATTTTTCAGCTACACAATTCATTTTCTCGGCTGCGATGCGACTTTCGATGCCACAGAGTGCTAATTATTTTCCCGACAGACTTGTGGGTACCCTGCATTGACTGTTTTGCCCATTGCTCTTTGTTTTTCATCATTTTCTCATCATTGATACGGTCATTTAAGACAGTGGATACAAATAGTTTAGCTGAATTTTCGCTGAATTTTTCTCTCATTTGCAGCCCAGTCTGTCGAGAAAATAATGTGGGTTTCTGGAGGCAAAATGTCGCGCCTCGTTGCAGTAGATAGCCGAATACTCAGGTATTAAATACTCCGTCGCACTACGGTGTTGGAACGTTGCAAAGCCCGATTCCCTCATTATTTTCCCGACCGGCTGTGCCTGAAAATCCAAGGTACAGTGACGGACCCGATCCAGTGGCAAAAAAGCAACCATTTTGCATCCGGGAAGCATCAAAAATGTGGCAAAAGGTATCCCTCTCCAAGCGAAAAAAAACTTGATTTTGAGGGTTGCGCCCTTTCCCTCACAAAACAAGCGGGCGCGCTTTTGAGATCGGAGTTTTTTCACTTGGAGAAGGAAGCATTTTGCCACATTTTTGATACTTTCCGGATGCAAAATGGTACGTTTTTTGCCACTGGATCAGGTCCCCCACTGTAGCCGAGATATTGATTTTTGCTCCCGAGTAATGAAAAAACTTTGAGACTTTCCCTGTCACATCGAGAATCTCCGTTCCTTGTCCGCGGACAAGGTACAATACGTATAATACACAATTTCCAAATTGTTCTATTTTCAGGTTTTGATGCTATTGTTTCGCAACCTCTTCCTCCTGCTCTGGGTCACAATCTTCGCAGGTGGGTGGGGCGTCCTGTGCACGTGTTGTTGAGCACGCGATTGTTTACGTCTGGCTGTTTTTTGAACATGAGATTGTAGTCGGGAGAGGCGGGCTGTATCATAAGTTTTTATGTAGTTGTTGCCACTGCGCTTTTCGACTTGTGATGCGTACAAAAAATTTTTAAAAAAATTGAATTTTCACTGAGGGCTGAAAAAGAGAGTGTTTTTTGTCTATAGAGGTCAGAAATTGAGAGTGAGAGGCTTTCGTGGTGGGACCAGAGGCTTCTAAAAAACGCGAAATTTATAAAAAAAATCAAAAAAGCGGTGAGAGTGGTCGAAATAATAAATACTAGTCCGTTCATAAAGTCGCTGGAGTCATTTCGGCGGCATGGATTGTGCAAGAAAAATCGCAAAAATCACTCCAGCAAATTTGCGAACGGACTATCAGTCTGTCGGGAAAATGACGGCGGGTCGTCGCAGCAAAATGTTTCGCCTCGCCGGAAAAAAGGCGCTGAATCCCAAGCTCCGGCAGCCATCGCAAAGCGACGATGGGCGATTTTAAGGCGCACCGACTCGCAGTTATTTTCCCGACAGACTGATACTATACGGTATCGGTCTGTCGGGAAAATAATCTAGACTCTGTCGCATAGAAAATTGCATCGGCGCTGAGGAAATGAATCGTGTCGCTATTAGCGCAGCAACACACCGCTTATCATTTTCTGTCGGAAAAATAATGTGGATTTTCACGCCTTGGAATCGGCCATCATGGCTCTGCAACGGCTAGCTTTTTCCCGACAGACTGGTAGTCCGTACGCAAAGTTGATGGAGTAATTTTCACGGTTCTTCTTGCACAATGTATGTCGCTAAAATTCGTCCAGCGACTTTGCGAACCTACTAGTAATCTCCGCGACGGATCCACAGTATTTTCCCGACAGCCTGACATGCTGACAATAACTATAATAAGTGTCTGCCCTCCCTAAAATTCAGCCTATTTCAGCCAGCACAAAGCACACGATTTGCCGCGACGGCGTGAATCGAAAGGACGCGATCTGCCCCGCCGGATCGGACTGCTTCTTCCCCGCAGGTCTCAACGCCAACACCGGCCGCTTCTTCGGGATCTGCCTCTCGCACAGTGGGTTCGAATCGCGACGCCTAAGGGCTGCATTTCAAAACTGAATTTAATAATTTTATTTTTAGATCGGACGGATCTCGCAGCCTCGGATCGATGAGAACGATTGAAGCCGCACTCGTCGGGCTTCATTTTGCGTTGCGTCCATAAAATTATAGTCGAGACAACCCAATGGCTTTCTGGAATTTGTTCCTAATTTTCGTCCTTCAAGTGTTTTGCTATGGTAGGCGATTTGTGAAGGGAAAATGGGGAAACTATTTTCAAAACTATCAGTCTGTCGGGAAAATAATAATGTGGACTTGTCGCAGCAAAATAGCTTGCTTGTCTAGCCGTAGTCACCACCAAATTCTCACAGCTGTTGCAGGTCGTTGTCGAGCGATCTCAAGACGCGACGGATCCACATTATTTTCCCGACAGATTTTATAGACGGGCCAACAAACTGTCGGGATAATATAGTCATGAGCACAATGTCGTATCGAAAATCACATAGCTTGTGGCATAATCAAGTAAAATGTCGCTCTTGTTGTGTCGATGCGCCGATCGCGTCGGTGAGCTGAAAAGCGTTTTGATTTAGCGACATAATCCACTTTCTCGGCGGTGATGCGATCTTCGATGCTACTAGTCCGTTCGTAAAGTCGCTGGAATGATTTCGGCGACATGCACTGTGCAAGAAAACTCAGGATGCGAGCGACAGCTCGAAAAAGCCTATTGCACTGTGCAAAAAGCCAAAAATTGTACAGTGCAAAGCGAACTTTCGGTTTCGTGGAGTGCATGTCGCCGAAAACATTCCAGCGACCTTACGAACGGACTAGTACTGTATGCTAATAATTTTCCCGACGGACTGATGAGATCTAAATATTTTTGCCAGTCGCTGTGCCGATCGCATGACTGAACTAAAAATCAACTTGCTTTTGTCGCGACACAATTCATTTTCTCGTGTCTATGCAATTTTCGATGCGACAAAGTGCCCATTATTTTTCCGACATACAGAAAAATAATTTTAAAAAATCATTTTTCGACGCTTACAAAGTCGACAGACAAACGGTCATACCGCACTCTTTCAGGATCCGCCAGATCCGTGGCCCCGCTGCTCGCCTGTCAAAACGGTACTGCCGGCCGAATGTCCGACTGCCCGAGAGATTTCAAATGCGTTTTCCCTGCCGGTGTGGATCCCCAGACGGGGTTGTTCTATGGTCTCTGTGAGCTGGAAGGTATGTCAAAATATTTTTGTTTATTGGCACAAAAAATTGTCGTAATGAGACATGTTATACAAATTTTTGTTTGTCACAACACCCTATTTTTACTTCCTCTATTAACGTGTTAAATCGCAATGGAAACACCGAATATTTAGCCAGTTAAAAGTGGCATTTGCAGCGTCGATTTCCTGCCAAGCCGACGTTGAATGCCCGTCGCCGGCTCGCTGTTCGAATGGCCCCAAAGTTTGCATAATCTGAGCTCCAACTGTCCACAACTTTCCAGTGCGTCGCACACATATCTAGTCGACATTATTTTTTACTTTTTTTTACTGTTCAACACTATGTGTGAAAGTCATTTCAGTGTAGTTTATATTGTATATAAACAAGATTTTTATTGACTTTTATTTAAAATTCCAGTATTTTTTGGAGGTATTACACAGGTATAAACAAGAGTTCGTTAAACAACAACCCTTTTCTCGCCCATTTCTCTCACAATCTAGCCCTCAGAATGGCTGACTGATCGTACTCATCGAGTCGTCTGCGGGCATGTCTGGTCCTTATAACCTTGTCTCCGAACTCGTTGACCAAGTCCAGCCAAAACTTCAACGACTTCTGCTCGCCCTCGAAATACGTCCGAATCTCCGGCTCCGGCTTCACAACCAGATGCGTGCAGATGTTCTGGTTGGTCACAGCGGGCCACTGAATGTTGTCGAAGCTGGGATTCGACGTCTTAATGAAGTTGACATGGCTCTGAACCAGCACATGTTTGTGTTTCAAATCCTCTTCGTTGAACTCGTATTTGGAGGGAATCGGGGTGTTGAAGAACTGCTTCATCTCGGAGACGTGCAGACATCCCCTCAACGGTTGTTTGGGATCGTCGCCGAAATGATGTTCCCGCCAGTAGGGGTTCTGGTAGACGTAGACTGGAGCGCCGTTCAGGTGCTTGGCGCGGTATTCGAGGAACATTGGGACAAGCGAAGTGATGTGGCTGAGGATCTGGAAGCGTAATTTTATTGATCTAAGGCTAAGCAGAACTTGTTGGAGTCAGTTTGTCGGGAAAATAATGCACTCTGTCGCATCGAAAATCGCATCGCCGCCGAGAAAATTAATTTTGTTGCGGGCAAAGTCACCTTGCTTTTATATATCAGCCTGTCGGGAAAATAACGGCGGATCGTCGCGCCTCCGAATCCCCCATCTTCGCTTTGCGACGGCTGCCGAACTGGAGATTTGGTACGCGATAGCGGTGAGGCGAGACATTTTGATGCGACGACCCGCCGTTATTTTCCCGACAGACTGATATACTACGAGTCGCGCCATGGAGTCCGTAGAACTTTTAAAACTAGACTATTTAAAAACAAAGCATTTTGGCCCGCCTAGAAGTGTGCCTGCAAAGAATTCCATGGACTTTTGCCGTAAGTATCAGTCTGTCGGGAAAATAATGGGCATAATGTCGCTGCCCCAATCGCTCCGCTGAAGTGAAAAGCAATTTGATTTTACCGCGACACGGTCTATTTTTTCCGCAGCGATGGATTTTCAACGCGACAGGGTGCTTATTATTTTCCCGACAGACTGATAAATCAATCTCAGTTTGAAAAAAATGTCTTCTCGTCCCATTTCCTCCACTTTGTCTTTCTCTCTTACCCTTTGCTCGGTATTAATCCACAGCAGCGGATCATGGTGTTTCGGTGCATTTTCCCACACATAGAAGTCGATCACTCGATCCGCGATTTTTGACGCCTCAGGGCCATAATCGCGCTCTGTGAAATGGACATTTCGAATTCGATTGATTAGCATTTCCCGGTTGAAATTCCTTTTCCATTCCTCCGTTATTGTCAGACTGTGGACTGCCTCCAGAAAACCGTGATCTAAAAAGGGAAGAAAAGTATAAAAAATGGAAGTGTACAGTGATTTATGAGAAGGGAAGTAGACAAAGCGCAGTTTGTTAAGTGTTCAAAATGACCTTTTTGGTCGTTGAAAAAAGATATCAGACTGGTGGGAAAATAGTGGCATGTGGTCTTATTATCTTGCTCATACTGCAGTACCAGTCTGTCGGGAAAATAATGAACAAATGTCGCTGGGCCAACCGCGTCACTGAAATGGAAAGTAATTGATTTTGCCGCGACACAGTTCATTTTCTCGGCGGCGATGCGATTTCTGATGCAACAGGCTGCCCATTATTTTCCCGACAGACTGATAAACAGGCCGATAAACTCACAAAAATATGCCATTTCGTCCGTGGCAAAGCCGGCGAGCACGGGAATTGGCTTCGACTCCTTTATCAGTTCCCTCAAATCCTTTGGCAAAAAGTCGCCATCCAACCGCGGCAACCATTTCAACGAAAACGAGACGCTCGCCCGTCCAAGCCGCTCATGCGCGTCCATAATCTCTCTGACGCTACAGCGCTTCAAGAACTCCTTGATCGTCTTCGAATCATTGGAGTTGCAGCCCAACGCTCTAGCCAACTTTTTCGTTTCATCGACGCAATTTTCCCCCAACGTAACTGGCCCAAACAAGGCGCCGGAATTTTGAATTGAACGCTTGAAATGGTCGCGGGTTTTGGGTGAGATGGTTAGATAGCCGACGCTCACACCACCAGTCGACATTCCCCAAGCAGTCAGATCTTTGGGGTCTCCGCCAAACGCGCTGATATTATCGAGTGTCCAGCGGAGAGCTAGCGCTTGATCGTGAAGACCGTAGTTGCCTGGCATAACCGAGTCACCGGTGGATGCAAATCCTGCAATATAAAACATAGTCAAGATTCTATCTAATATTTTTTTTCAATTGCACGAGTTTTTTTGTAGACATTGCAGGGCAAATGTCCATACACTTTATGAAAATACCAAATTGTCTTACCCAGCCATCCCAGTCGATAATGGAAAGTGACCACAACGATCCCTTGACTAACAATGTTTTCGCAGAATCCCTCAAATCTCATCCACATTGCCGATCCCACGTTGTAGGCGCTGGGATGAACAAAAAAGACTGTTGGCCATCCACCAGTCTTTGGCCGAGTTGGCGGGCACATCACATTAATTGTGAGGCAATCTTCTCCATAGGCCACCTTCGTTCCCAAGTCATGATGGGGAACTGCGGCTAGGCTGAACTCTTTCGCCTTGAATGTTCGGGTCCAAGGCTTGACTGGGCAAGGTAGCTGAAGGCGATAAATATGTTATAAAGAAAGCTTCAAATTACTGCCAGTTTGTCGGGAAAACAACAAGGAATCGGCGCAGCGAAATGTCTCGCCTTTTTTGAAAAGCAATGCCTCTTTGTCGCATCAAAAATCGCCGAGAAAAATGAATTGTATCGCGGCAAAATCAAATTGCTTTTTACTTTAGCGACAGAATTGGCTCAGCGACATTGTGTTAATTATTTTCTTGGTAAAACTTCCTTTTTCTGGCCCGTGCGAAAAGAAGGTTTCGCAGCTTGCGCACAAACAATTCCGCTTGCAAGGAATGTCAGGCTTAGGCAGTTAGGCTTTTTCATAGCGCTTAGACGGTCTCCTATTTTTACTCGCAGACCGCAAGGAAACCAAGACGCAAGCTGCGAAGCGCCGGGCCAGAAAAAGGAAGTGTTTCCATTTTCCTGACAGACCAAAAAAAACTTCAAATTTTAATGCCGAAAAAAAGCTCTGGCCGCGGTCGAAAGTCTATAGAATAGACAGTTGGCATCCTGCTACTTTCGCTTACCTCATATCTCAGCTCGCCCACCGGCGGCTCGGCATACGGTATGCCAAGGAACACATGCACATTCCCATTCCTGGTCTCAAAATTGAACCCCTCCACAGGCCCACTCTTGGTCACCACCAGCGGATCCACGCGGTCGACTCCCATGATGACTGTAGAGACTGTAGGTCTCGACGATGTTGCCTTCGCGTTTTATAGCAGTGTAAAAAGAGTAAATTTGGTATGCCGCTTCCCTTTTGGAGTCATAAATCAGCAGCGGACTCTGTACCAGGGAAAAAAGTGTAGAGTCGGCAAGGTGTTGCCTTTCCGCGATGACGGTAGAAACGCCGATAAACAAATAAATTACGGTCAGAGTTGTTTGTTTCAGTAGTTTTTTTTTCGTTAATTCCATTTGTAATATTTAGTTGAAGTTGCGACTAGAGAAGTTAAATAATGGATGACTAGTCAAAAAAGGGAAAACTTTTGACAGGCGAGGTGTTTCAGGTGTGACGTTTAGAGTTGGACGAAACGCGGCACAAATGTTTCAACGATGTGGCCTACGTGTACGTAAAATTTTTAGTTTTTTTTACATAGTATTCTCATAAGTTGCATGGGCACTTGCCCCGCGACAGGCTGATAGGCAACGTTGCACAGCGCAAACAGCAGTTTTTTGAGGTTCGCACTGTGCGTGCAAAGAGAATTAACCGTGCGTGGAAAAAGTTCAAAACGGACACGCATAGCGCTACTCTCTCTTCAACAAAGCTCGGCCTTGACCACTGTTGCAAAACGCGAGCTAATATTTTGAGGAATCCATACTAGGCGGGCCAAAAAGTCTTGACATACAAGGAGGACCTGATCCAGTGGCAAAAAACGTACCATTTTGCATCCGGGAAGTATCAAAAATGTGGCAAAATACCTCCCTCTCCAGGCGAAGAAACTCAAATTTCAAGCGTGCCCCTTGTGAGGAAAAAGGGCCCTTCAAAACGAAGTTTTTTCTCTAGGAGAGGGAAGCATCTTGCCACATTTTTGATGCTTCCCGGATGCAAAATGGTGCGTTTTTTGCCACTGGATCGGGTCCGGCACTGTAGCATATTTATTGCTAGAAGAATCGAGCATCTGTGCATCGGATGACAACAAAAAATCACCCCAACCTCTTTTCCAACATGAATTGCAACAGCCGAAGGCCCAAAACAACGTCCGCCGAAATCTGAAGTCTCCGCCGCGCCTCCGCGGTGCGCGTAAAATCGAAAACAAAAAAATGCATACCGTAAAATCGACGGAGGTGTAACGTAAACTTGATTTCAGCCGTTGCAACGGCGTTTCCGCCATGTAATACGATGTGATTTTTAAAAAAGGCCCTAATTTTCTCCGCCGGGAAATGGGCCCTCCGCCGACGAAAAAAAATTTTTTTTTGAGATTCTAAAAACGCACGCTGTCAATTTTTAGAAGCAAAAAGAATTTCGTTGATAGCTGGAAAGAAAAAAAAGATATAAGCAAATTATTTGTTCCAAATTTCTTGAAACACCCTGAACTAGAAGATTTTCCGCGCCAAGAACCAATGTTGCCAAAGGCCTCGAGGATTGTTAGCCATTGTGGTTGATTGAATGAACGTTGATGCCGTTGGCGGAACAGCCCTTACATGCTGTTGTCAGCATGTAATAACCTTCGGATTTTGGTCGATAAATGCTTGCCGACCCAAATCAAAAAATCTCTTTTTTTTAGATACTATAAATGATGGATGAAATGTTTTTCATCCCAGTACATTCCCGTTGAATTCCTTTTTCAATGTTCTTTGACAATGTGAACAGTGTAACGTTTTGTTTCACCAAGGGATGGAAAAACATTCAGCTGACGCAAGATTTATTACTCGGAAGGCGCAGTAGACAGCGACGGCGTTCGGCGGTGTAACAGTGCAATGTTGTTAAATTCACATAAAAATAACACGAGTTTCCATTGTGCCGAGTTTTGTGACATTTACGATGGCATCTTAGGTGCGACGCGTCTCGAGACGCTCAGATTTTTTAAAAATGTGCCAGAAATGGGTCAAATAGTACTCCATTTATTTGCTGTATTTACATGATTTATCCATATTTGGAATTCAATTCTTCTACACAAGATATTCCTATTAGATTTTCTTCATAACCTAGCCTTCAAAATCGCTGACTGATCGTATTCATCGATCCTCCTCCGACCATGTCGCGATCTTATAACCTTGTCTCCGAACTCGTTGACCATCTCCAGCCAAAACTTCAATGACTTTTGATCGCCCTCAAAATACGTCCGGATCTCCGGCTCCGGCTTCACAACCAGATGCGTGCAGATGTCTTTAGTCGTAACAGCGGGCCATTGAATGCTGTCGAAGCTGGGATTCGACGTCTTAATAAAGTTGACATGGCTCTGAACCAGCACATGTTTGTGTTTCAAATCCTCTTCGTTGAACTCGTATTTGGAGGGAATTGGCGTGTTGAAGAACTGCTTCATCTCGGAGACGTGCATACATCCCCTTAGAGGTTGTTTGGGATCGTTGCCGAAATGGTGGTCACGCCAGTAGCAGTTCTGATAAACGTAGACCGGAGCGCCATTCAGGTGCTTGGCGCGGTATTCGAGGAACATTGGAGTTATGGAACGGGTGTGGTTGAGAATCTAGAAGTTAACCTTTAATATCTGAATGTCTTTGAAGAAAATTGTAAGGAGAATGAAAGATTCTTTGTGGCAGCTTTTTTCTGGCAATTGATATAATATATAATTGCTAACTAGCAGTAATTTACTGTGTCCAAAACTTAGCGAAAAATCAAAGTGAACTGAGCGACGAAATCCGAGCAGCGACACTGTGCTCATTATTTTTCCGACAGACTGATACTATACTCGAAGCCCTGTACGGGGTTTTCACTCGCTGTCGCTATTTGAAAAGTTGCGAGACAGTAATTGTGCGGTGGTGGACTGTACAGACATGCCGTGCTGTGTAATAAAAACGTTTTTGCTATCATAGAGTTCATAACATACTCCAAAAGATTAATGAACGCCTGTTATCATTTCTATAATCATTCGCCTGCAAAGACCGCTCAACTCCTTGTTCATGCTGACGAAGCGCACAAGCTATAATTTTCAGACTTGTGGCGTTGCCCACACAGATCATACATCTCTTTTTTTGAAAATCTCTCCACCCTGTTTTGAGAACTATATTATTTATCTTACCCTTTGCTCAATATTAATCCACAGCAGCGGATCATGATGCTTTGGTGCATTTTCCCACACATAGAAATCGATCACTTGATCGGCGATTTTCGGCGCCTCAGGGCCATAATCACGCTCTGTGAAATGGACATTCCGAATTCGATTGATTAGCATTTCCCGGTTGAAATTCCTTTTCCATTCTTCCGTTATTGTCAGACTGTGGACTGCCTCCAGAAAACCGTGATCTAAAAAGAAAGAAGAGTATGAAAAACGAATACAGTGTTCATTCCACAGTTTAGCAAGGTAGAGTGCCTACTAGCATCTGTATGTAAAAATATAAGGTGTAAATGCAAAGTGACTTTTCGTCGTGGGCCGCACCGTGAGCAAAACCGCTTTTTGCGGCGTGCTTTTGGCCTTTTGCGCCGTGCAACTGCAATATCGCTGCGACGCGGGCCTCTCAACGAAGTCGACGCGAATTTTGCGCGGGCGAAAAGAAGTTGCGCAGTACAAAATTGCTTCAAGGATTGCGTCGCGAGATTTGCACAATGCGCCGTGCGAAAAAAAGGCCAAAAAAATGTCTACGCACTTTCTGAAATGACAAGTATCAAAGGGTCCCAAAAATTTTGTGCACCAAGTTTCAAGGTTCTAAGACCTATGTCATTGTTCTGGATGGAGAGAAAATTTTGTCGCTAATGCCACCCCATCAACCTACAGAAATAAATCATTTCGTCCGTGGCATATCCAGTAAGTAGGGGTATCGGTTCGACCTCCTTTATCAGTTCCCTCAAATCCCTCGGAAAGAAATCGCCATCCAACCTTGGCAACCACTTGAATGTGAACGGCACCTCGGCCATCCCCACCTTTTCTTGAGCATCCATAATCTCTCTGACGCTACAGCGTTTCAAAAACTCCTTGATCGTCTTTGAGTCGGTGGAGTTGCAGCCCAACGCTCTAGCCAACTTCCTGGTTTCGTCGACGCAATTCTCGCCCAACGCCAACGACGCAAACACAGATCCGGAGTTTTGAATTTGCCGTTTGAAATGGCCTCTGGTTTTGGGAGAGAGCGAGAGATGGCCAACACTCACAGCGCCAGTCGACATTTCCCATGCGGTCAGATTGCTGGGGTCTCCGCCAAACGCGCTGACATTATCGAGTGTCCAGCGGAGAGCTAGCGCTTGATCGTGAAGACCGTAGTTGCCTGGCATCACAGAGTCACCGGTCGAGGCAAATCCTGGAATATATAAAACGTAGGTAATACCTAATATTAGCCTGTCGGGAAAATAATGAGCGCAGTGTCGCTGCAGTGGCGTTGCCGAAGCGAAAAGGAAGTTGATTTTGCCGCGCAGTTCATTTTCTCGGCGGCGATGCGATTTTCGATGCGACAGAACGCTCACTATTTTTCCGACAGTCTGATACTAGTATACGCCAAAAAATTAAAATACCAATATCTTACCCAGCCATCCCAGTCGATAATGGAAAGTGACCACCACGATCCCTTGACTAACAATGTTTTCGCAGAATCCCTCGAATCTCATCCACATTGCCGACCCGACACTGTAGGCGCTCGGGTGGACGAAGAAGACTGTTGGCCATCCACCAGTCTTTGGCCTAGTTGGCGGGCACATCACATTAATTGTGAGGCAGTCTTCTCCATAGGCAACCTTCGTTCCCAAATCATGATGGGGAACCGCTGCTACACCAAATTCTTTCGCTTTGAGGGGTTGCGTCCAGGGCTTGCGCGGACGGGGCAGCTGAAATTCATATTGTAAATACCGTGAGAAAGGGGGTTGAGACCAAGCCAGGAAAAGGTCAACATAACAACTTCAGAAAAATCCTTCAAAAACCCCGAAATACGACGCTCAAATATTCTTTAAATTTTGCACACACTTTGGCCATAACTTTCAGTCATCGGCACGATGCCTGAAAGTTTTAGATTGTACCTTACAAGCGCCACCGAGATATCCAGCAATGTTTGTGGCTGATAGAGTACAAAAAAGGGCCCGAGATAAGAAAGAAACACTTTTTGGCCATAAATTTGCCAGATTCGTGCGGAAAATTTTATTTTTTTGTGGATGTATTACGCTTAGAAATACGTAAGAAAACTTTTATGCCAAAATCCGCAAAAAAGACGTCACATTTTTTGCCAATTTTCGACCTAAAAACCAAGGCCGTTCCTGCAAACACGCCATCTAGAAGTCTTGCATATATCACATAAAAAGTTTTTCTAAATTTGTTCTAAGTTTGATCAAAATCTGAGCATCCTACTTGAGCCAATTCGCCTATAATCTTGCCTCACCTCATATCTCAGCTCTCCCACCGGCGGTTCAGCATACGGAATGCCCAGGAACACATGGGTATTTCCATTTTTGGTCTCAAAATAGAACCCTTCAACTGGTCCACTCTTGGTCACTACGAAGGGATCGATACGGTTAGCTACCATGACTGTAAACGAGAGAAAAAGCGTCTTCACCGATGTTTTGCCTTTTTATAGAAGGAGAACCAAATACGGTTCTTTGAGGGTTATCAATCAGAAACATTCTCGTAGATGTTGTGCGGTCCAAGGGTCACCCAATGAGCAGTTTCGTAAATCGGCACGTTATCATGTGTAATATTTAATAGTGATCATTGATCTAAAACACGTTCATTTTGATGCTCAAGGTGTGTTTTAGACATGGAGCCCGGGCTGGGTTGGTCAGATAATTAGAATGCACGGTGGCCCTGCAAAACTAGACATATACTCCCGGACATAAATTTCTGACCACCCATATCTCAAGTGAATACAACGGAATCACTTTGAAACTAGGCATGTATACTAGTCATAGCAGGCAGAGTCTGCCACATAAAAATGTTTTTTGTGTCTTTGTCCTTAGGCAAGTTATGCAGGTTTTTTTAAAAATTGGTGGACAAAACTTTCTGATCACCTAAAATAACTAAAGTTTTCTCAGTTACCTTGAGTAAGCAACATGATTCAGTCATCTTAAAGCACTATTTAGGGACGTACAAGGACGGTGAGTATACTTTTTACCACGAAATTCAGCGTTTGCCCTCAAGCCACTCGTATTCTCGTAGCGCTCTTTTTCTCGTTAAAATCATGCCCTAAGCGGCAACGACGACTCTTTTGTTTTAGAAAAAGCAATAAGAGACTCGTTGGAGTTAGTGATACATGATCTTACTGCCCTGCGATGTGAAGTATGCCATTAACGCCTTAAGCAAACCACTTAGTAGAAGCCGATCTCTAAATAATTGCTCATAAAGGCAGGCGTTTTTATTAAATCAGTCTGGGAATCCCCTACAGTACTTTTTGGTGCATACTGAAGAATGTAGGATAACAATCTCCCGTTATCTTTGCATTTCATGCGCGCACTAACGCAAAATCCGTAAAAAACGCAACTATTCCGATTTTGTAATTACGAAATGGTCAAAATTTGCCGAAAAATCCTCAAGTTCGCGTTATCCTGTAGTTTCACCCCGACATTTCATGAGCCCGGGTTAGAACTAGTATAACTTTATTGTACTTTATGTAGGGCTAAGCCATGTTTAATTTCAGCCAGTTTGGGCTGATTCTGAAAAAGTTACAGGCCGCTAAAGTCCGGCCGGCTGGTTAGTTTTGCAATGATTTGCACATGACTGATGAAATCCCTAACATCTCGCGGTACGATCGACGGAGATTGACTATGTGTGATCAATTACATAATCCGGTGCGTTTTTTATCCTTCTAGCCCACCGCGAGCCGTCGTATACTAACAAAATCGCGTAATGCGCAGAATGCGCAACCCCTTGCGACGTATGTTGCTACTCCCCAATTTTTTGCCATAGATATATGTGTCTATGTCTGTGCTATGCAGTATTATCGGTTTTAGCCCCGTATCAAACATTTTTCGGCAGTTGCAAACAATTTACCTAAGTGATCAGAAAGTTTTGTCCACCATTTTTTTAAAAATGCTCAAACAAATGCCCTTAAAGTGCAAATATAAAAAATTCCGTTTTTCCACATGCTTTGCAGCTCTTTCTGATTGGGCAGTTAAAATTTGGACCATGTAGCTCAGTTAACAGCCGAGCTACAGGGTGGTCAGAGAGATATGTCCGGGAGTATATCAGTTCGTCGGGAAAATAGCGGCGAGTCGTCGCCACTTATAATCGCCTGTTATTGCTTTGCGACGGTTAGCCGAGGCTGGAGACTTGGTGCGCGGATTTTTCCACGAGGCAAATGACTTTGCTGCGGCGACCCGCCACTATTTCCCCGACAGACTTGTAGGTTGCTGGTCGAAGAGAGTCAGTGCGGTCCGGCTGTTTCAAATTTTCCCCAGCCTGGTCCAGGGCCGCCAGTATACTGCAAATAGAGGTGGCAATCGGGCTGGGCCGGCCCGCCCGGACCCGGTGATTGGGCCGGGCCGGGCCTGAGCAGATTTGAAAAGGTCCAGGGCCGGCCTGGTCACCTTCGGCCCGCGGGCCGGGCCGCAAAGATCGGCCCGGCCCGGCCCGATTGCCACCTCTAACTCCAATATAGCAAAAATTGGCAGTGGTTAGCGAAAATCCTCAGAAAAAATTAAAAAAACTGGAAAAACGGCCGCTCAACGATGATTTTGTGCAACTACTAGAAATTTTCGCGTTCCAATACAACAATTTGTCATTCTTCAACTTGTTCGTTCGCAAAATCAGGAATGATTTTTGCAACATACCCTGTGCGCAACATATGTGTCTGGTCTGCCCGGGAGATCTCAAATTTTCGTTGGACCGGCCCGAACCCTCGTCTAAAGCGTCCCAAGAATCCCTCAACTTGTTCACCCTATAGCTTCCAGCTTTTTCATAAATTTTTTTCTCTCCGAATCCTTCTTATTACAGCTCAAATTGCAGAAGTTGTTGTTTCACAGGAGGGTGAAAAACATAGTAAACCCCGAGAGATTTATGAGCGGGAGGGCGCATGACCATCAAAAACGACGTGCTTCTACAGTGTAAACTTTTGTTCAAGGAAGTTTGAAAACAAAGAAAGGCACTGCAAGGCTATTGGTTGTCAATTTATTGCTTGCAAACTTGAAAAAAACATTTTTAATTTGAATAATAAATGACGAAACCCAAAAAAGGTCAATATATTTTTGATGATTCAATGGCAATTTCCAGCTAATCCTCCGGTCTTTGTTACTTTTTTGGCGATTTCACAGTGGTAATCTCGGAAGTGCTTGAGTGGGCGTGGAAATCCATGAAATGAATGAAAAACTACATAACTTCAAGTAGCGGGTGAAAAAAAAGAGTCATATCCCGAAATAAGCTTTGTCCTATCGAATATCAGTCTGTCGGGGAAATAATGAGCACAATGTCGTTACGAAAATAGTGTCGCCGAAGTGAAAAGCAATTCTGTTTATTTCGCCGTGAGACGATTCATTTTCTCGCCGGCTATGCGATTTTCAATGCGACCAAGTGCACATTATTTTCCCGACAGACTGATACAACGGCTTTTCAAAAGTGCGTGGAGTTTTTGTCGCAAGCCTTTCGCTTTCTCTTTTTTTGCACTGTGCAATCGAAAACTCGCCGCTCCGCGAGAAGCAGATGTTGGCTGATTTCCAAACATGCCCGCAGAGACTCCATGCACGGCAACCCGAAATAGAAGAAAAATGTTTCCCGCCCACTTTTGAGTTTCGTTCAAACGAAGTGTCAAAATTGACAAAAGAAATAAAATAATTCCGAGAAAAATATTTTTCGGTCGGAAAATCCCACGAAAAATTGTTTTGTGACATTTCGTTTGATTTCAACCGATACAAAATGGGCGAAGTGTCGAAAGGAGCCAGGAAACACTTCGGGTTGCCGTGCCATGGTTCTTCTAGCTGCACGCAAATTGGTTGCCCTTCAAGTTTGGGCCCGCCTTTTCTCAACTGGAGAAGAATAAAGCGTTCTCATGTCTGAAAGCCCTCCGCGTTTCACGCATTCTCTGGGCTACAAAGACGGTTCAATACCGTCTGGTTGAGACCGGAAAGCAAAAAATTGGATGTTGTTAAAAAAATTTAACAACTTCCAAGCGTCGCACTTATATGGTACCAGTTATTCCAAAGAGCCAATTCTTTAACAGTACTTTCGATTGCTGTTTTCAAAGAAATGGGGTTGCAGTGCACCGAAAATTTTTCTTCTCGCCGCGCGACAAGCTTTTTACACGACTGTGTAGACATGCCAAGAATTTTTGGCCCGTCTGATACACGGGCCTTCATCACTTTTGTTGACATTTTAATGTGATCTTTGACAAAAGTCTTAAGACGTAATGAAGGAGAGTTTGTCCTTTGATGTAGACCTTTGTCCGTCTCAAGAAGATGACCAATTTCGGAGCCCATATCCTGTTCTGAATGCCAATGTTTTGTGCAAGGCCTTTGCTGTTGACATTTGAGTGAGAAGTCTTTTTGAACCCACCTTTTTCCTCTAGTTCAACTATGTAGAAAGGTTTAAAAGTAGGGTAACTATTACATTTTTATTCGGTGATAAGAAAAAATGCTCCAAGTGCGACGCTCAGACTGCCTCAAAATTTTTTACCCATGCCAGGCATAAGTTACATATCAATTCCTGAAAATTTTAGCTCGCGCTTTGCTGGGGCAGCCGAGATATTCAACAATCTTTGCTGTCGAGAGAGCACGAGAAAATCGGAGCGCGGTGTTACACATAAACAGATTAAAAAAAGAAAAAATATCACTGTTAATTTTTTCTTTTTTTTTCATTTTTTGTGGAAACAATATCCTCTACGATCGGAATAGGCATGAAATTTACGCCTAAATGTCATTTTTTTTGTTAAATTTCGACTCAAAAATGACCGTCATGTTCGCAAATCGCAAGCTAAGAGTCTCTCTGCGAAAAAATTTGTTGCCTCTAACATTTTTATTTTTTTATTTTTTGCTTTTATTTTTTTCACTTTTTCATTTCCAGTCTGTCGGGAAAGTAGTGGCAGTTCGTCGCAGCAAAATCTTTGGCCTCGTCGAAAAAAAAGGTCCAAATTTCCAGCTGCTAGCCTCACAAAGCGATGATGAGCGCGACGACCCGCCACTATTTTCCCAACAGATAGTACAGGGTGTTTCAAGAAATTTGGAACAAATGACTTGCTTATATCTTTTTGTTCTTTGAAGCTATCAACGAATTTCTTTTTGCTTCTAAAAATTGACAGCGTGCGTTTTTAGAATCTCAAAAAATTTTTTTTTTCGTCGGCGGAGGGCCCATTTCTCGGCGGAGAAAATTAGGGCCTTTTTTAAAAATCACAGCGTATTACGTGGCGGAAACGCCGTTGCAACGGCTGAAATCAAGTTTACGTAATACCTCTGTCGATTTTACGGTATGCATTTTTTTGTTTTCGATTTTACGCGCACCGCGGAGGCGCGGCGGAGACTTCAGATTTCGGCGGACGTTATTTTGGGCCTTCGGCTGTTGCAATTCATGCTGGAAAAGAGGTTGGGGTGATTTTTTGTTGTCATC